ATAGAGATTGATAGAGAGAAAATGTCAATGTATTCCACACGATATGGTAAATCCATTCAAGTAGTTTTATTGGATGAGGAAAGTAATACTCCTTTTAACCCTTTCAGTCCTGGCGTACACTGTAGTGTACGCCAATTCAAATCTATTCTAATACTAAATCTATTTCGATTTTGACCATTGCGTCCCAGCATACACTTCAAACTTATAGATATGGGTTTTTATCAAGATATCAATGTTACCTATGGTTATACTACGATGAGAAACCTTCAAAGACGTGACAAATATCAACATCAAGTTAGCAAATTTACGTAACCAAAAGACTGTCCTCCTAAAATGTCGCAAGAACAACATAGTTCACCCTCATATCACATCAGGAGTTCACAATGTGGAAAATTTGACAAACACGGCAACATGAACATTACTCCGAAAAACCTTGAACTTCAATCTCGGGTTAAGGAATAGCATTTTAAATTTGGAAATTAAAATCACGCATGATACTATTCTTTCCTTTGAAAAAACTTTGACTGCCATTAAATCAAAGCTTGTTACGATATTACCTACCTACATCATCACAGAGTTTTATAGGAAACTCAGCGTCAACTATAGTCGAAAATTCTTCAAAGTAAAGAAACAGAATCAAAGAATATTTCAAAATTTAATTTTAACTCATTCTAAAGAAATTATCTCACAACCAAATTGGATTGAAAATTTGACTAACATTGAGATTTCACAGGATAGAGGGATTTTTTTGGCTTTAGGCCCCAAGTTTAGTATACAACCCTGTCTTAAATACATAAACGTCCTACATCTCATAGCAGATATTGATTACATAGTTTATAAATCCAAAATTCAAAATAAAAACTTAATTCTTTCCAAATCTTGCAACCTAGTTACTAATTTTCTTCACAATGATAACAATTTTAACAATCACCTTAATGTAACGTTTAATAAAACGAAGAAATTTCTCAAAGACAATCCCAATATCAAAGTCATCCACTCTGATAAAATGAATGTCACTACCATTATGACAACTTCTCAATGTGACTCTCCAACCTGTTGAGTTCAATTTCCATTTCATAATTTCATATTATCTGTGCAATCATCTCATATTATCGCAAAATTCTTAAGGATTGTTACATTTTTTAACCAATTTTAATCTCGACATACAAATATGAGGATCCTCTTTGTTACTTACTAACTTTACTTTTACTTTGCTAACTTCATTTTAACCTCACTTTCGTAAGTATGAACACGTTGTCCATACATACCCTTTGTTTATTCAATAATTATTGTAGAGTTCCCGAGGAAGAGACAATAAACGCCTCGAAAGAACCATGGTAGAAAAATACACCAATAATTCTACTTCTAAATATACCACACCAAACATTAATATTCATCCCCACAATCCATCTTTGCGGACTGTGGAAATGGACTATAAATGGATTATGTCTACTCCAATAATGAAAATCATTTTTATTATACATCCCACAATTTCAAAAATTATCATCATCGTTCCATATAATATTTCTAAAGATGTTTAGATCTTGTCGGCAATTATTCATAAACCACCGACAAAACCTCAATGGTCTCTCAGGGTCACCAGGTTCTAGTGTTTGCACTGGTCTTCACAGCTATTTCTCTAGATAAATTTCTGATGGAATTATTTGGATTGACCTCAAAGTGTGCTGAAACGTCAATTTCTGTATCTTTAGAGATTACAAAACGTTTTTCAGTTCTCCTCTTCGCAAAAATGTTTTCATTGTTCCTGAATCGACGATGAACCACAGCAAAAAAAACGCTGATTAGGTTATTCACGTTCGGAGAACGAATTGCTGTAGTGCTGGAATACTCTTACGCTATGTTTTTGGCAAACCAAGTAGAATTCTAACATATCACAATTTTCTTGATGGGAAAACGGCATTTCGAAAAATATTCAGACAGTAGTTGACATGACATGACATGGGCATCAAGATGCCCAGGAGTTCCTTCGTTATCTTTCTGAAGGTTTACATAATGACGTTAATAGAATTATTGAGAAACTTAAGCCGACCTTAAGGAGATTACCGAAAAATTGAGCGACGGAGGAAAGACTGATCTATTTGGGTACATATAACTCTAAGATTATAGATAATTTCGTTAGTTAATTAAAATCCACGATAAAGTGCACACACTGTGGACACTCATCCGGTACCTTCGGTCCTTTCTGGGATTTGTCACTCCCCATACCACAAAGAACTGGCCAATTGGGTTTATCATAATGCTTGGAATTCTTCACAAGAGAGGAAACTTTGGATGGACATGAAAAACCAACGTGTTTGAGTTGCAAAAAAAGAATAAAATGCACAAAGTCTCTATCGATCCATAAGTTTCCCCGTATTTTAGTCATTCATTTTGAAAGATTATCTCTAACAGAAAGATTTAGAGGCAAGTTAAATGTTGCCATCGAATTTCCTATAGATGGATTAGATATGAATGAGGCTCGATCCACACTATGATGCCGTTCTCGGTCCGACCTCGCTCCGGAATCAGTTCGATCAAATCACGCTGTATTTTCACTACTAGTTCCACCCTCAGTCTGTCTCGATCCATGGTCGACATAGGACGTTTCTCGAAATAATTCGATAAATTGTAGTCGCCAAAAAATGGCATTTAATTTTTCAATCTAAGAATTAGCGATAATAATAGCTATTAGTTTGGAATAACAGAATATAAATGAAAAAAATTACAACATAAAATAAAAAGAAGAAGAATATGGATACATCCCAATTTACTAACGAGAAAAGAGGAAGGCGAATATCACACGTTAGATTTGATAGACGACGAAGAAAAGTTTATTATTTATGATCAAATGTTATGAATAACTCAAATAAAGTACTTACCTTTTTCAGAATCCCACGATTTATTACTAGCCATGACTAGAAGAAAAATGTAACGTCTCCTTGCAAGACCGAAGAAAGACTGGAGTTGAAACAAAAACGAATTCACACTGTCGGTACAAGTCATGACAGGTCCGATCTCGCTCCAGTCTTGCTCCAGTCAAATATTCTTTTCGACCAACTGGTACCGGCGCGATGCCGTATCGGAACCAGAGCGATACGATAGTGAGAATACTCTGATTCTTTCTTGTTTGAGAATAATTTACCAGACCAGGAACGGACCGAGACCGGAGCGAGATCGGACCGAGAACGGCATCATAGTGTGGAACGAGCCTAATTATGCAGCAGACAATGTGACTCCTTGTAGTTGTAATCTATATGCACTTTGGAATCACAATGGGTCTACCTACAGCGGACATTATACAGCATTCTGCAGACATCCTTATACTGACACGTGGCACGAATACAATGATTCACACGTGTCACCAGTTTCACCAAAATCGCTTGTGAGTGGAGATGCATACATCCCTACTCAACCAATCATTATGAAATTTTGTACACATGTTCTTGGAGGTATTAGAAGTAACACAGGATACCGTTTATTAAAAAACATTTTTTATGTAAGATAAAAAATTGTTTCAACTGTTTGGAATTTTTCTATATTTATTGTTATTTTCTTCTGTCATTTTTATTTTTAGGTTAGGTTAAGTTGGGTTAGGTTCGAAGTCGAGGTTCGAAGCCTTGGTTTCGAAGTCCTCCATATGAAAAGACTATTGACAGGTTCGACCACAAACTCTCTTGCTTGTTCAGATACGTAGATGACGTTTTTGTCATATGGCCTCACGGCTCAGAAACTCTCCATAATTTCCTTTATTACCTCAACGACCTTCACCCAAATATAAAATTCACAATGGAAATTGTGAATTTTATATTTGTGAATTTCATATTTCCCAGATGTCCTCATTACAAAATCCAATAACTCCTTCACCCACACGGTCTACAGGAAACCAACACACACAAACAGATACCTCAACGCAAACTCCCACCATCATCCAGCACAAACCAACTTCGTCCTGAATTCTCTCATCCATAGATCTATCAACCTCACAGACCACCACAACAAACCACAAGAGCTAGCCCAACTCAAATCAGTTCTCCTTCAAAATGGATTCACAGACCATCAAATTGACAGATCCATCCGTCAACAAACTTCTTCGTCCAATCCCAAAAATCCAAAAGACAACAACGTTCCACACAAAGCTTTCCTTTCCTACATTGAAGGTGTATCTGACAAAATTGGCCAAGTTCTCAAAAAACAGGACATAAAAACGATATTCACCGCCAACAATCAAATTTCCACATTCCTTCGTTCTCCCAAAGATAAAATCATCAATGAATCCCAGGGTATATATGAAATTCCATGCTCCGATTGCGATAGAACATATGTAGGCCAGACTAACAGACTTGTGACAAGTAGAGTATACGAACATCAACTTGCTGTCAGATAGTCAGATCCATCCCCGTCCCTATCAAAACATCATCAAGAGACAGGACACAACATAGACTTTGCGAACACCAAGACCATCGCCACAGCGAAAACACTACAAGATCGGTGCTCGGAGAGGTGCATTATATGCTCAAGATTGCCCTTCCAGCTAGTCATGGAATCTCTCAGCAGTTGATTTAGTGAGATGTCCACTGCGCCTCCTGCAGACAGAGCCAGAAAACAACTCCACAAGCATACTTCGGGGTGGGGGTCGGAATAATGATTAATATTCAGGAGAGGTGGATCGAGCAAATGAAATTAATTTCCGCCTTTCATAGTGGAAAATAACTTGCGACAGAGACATTGCACAGGTGGTTTTACTTCAACTCTCTGCGCGGTATCAGCTGGGTGGGTTGTTTGTTTTCCCGTTGGATACCTGCCACACGTACCTGCAAAGTCGTAGGCCTGCATGAGAGGAACGGNTCCGCCACGTAAAATAAAGACCATTTATTATTATTATTATAGTTTACCATTAGTAATTTTTGATGAGTTTTCATTGATTTCTGAAATTTCTCCCTTTTATAGAAAAATTTCATTTCCATGTATTGATGGGAAAGGTAATAATCAAGAAGTTTTTAATTTTCAAAAAATTGAATTTGTATTCACTATATTTATACATACTTCATTGAATATATACCTAACTAACAATATAAATATGGTATATTTAGATTTGAGAATCCTAATATCAACCTAAACAGATTGTACTCTAATCAATAATGACACTGAGGATAATCTTAATGACAATTGATATTGAAATGTTCCAAATTCGAAATCAGTAGTATTGATTAGGCTCTTCACCGTTTATGAATTATTGAAATATTGTTGATTTCTTTCTCGTAGTTTGGCCTCTTATTAGTCTGCGCCCTAACCCGTAGTCTAGGTTGGCCTTATGGGTGATCCGGGTCTGTATATGATGATATTCATCTTTCTTCTCAGGTCTCAGAACGACTATGCTCAAAGTCAAGAACGTATTGGGTTAACTAAGCCTATAAGATTTCTCATAGAATGTTACATACACAAAACTGAAAAACTAACTAATACATAACTGACTGAATAACTAAATGATCGTTTAGTCAGGTGAAAATTCGAATATCATATGTTTAAAATTGAAACTTAATGTTATATAAAATAATATAAAGATATTGTGAAGATACTCAGAAACACTTTCTATTGACAATTGAAGGACCACATTCTTCGTAGTCTTGTTTTGTGACGCACATCTTTTTGAAGTTGGAAAGTGAAGCAAAAATGGATCCTCCAGTCCACGCCGGGTAATTCCTGTCTGATGGAGTGACGATATTGATTTTCGTTCCGCATGGAGCCAAAGTCATAATCTCTTTAGTCATCCTATTTTCAATTCCAAGAAACATGCTATTGCCTCCAGATAATACAATGTTGGCGTACAAATTCCTATGAATACTCACCCCACACTTCATAATCGTGTCGTATATGTTTTGGTGGATACCCTTTTCTGTGCTCCCCAATAAAGATGGTTGAAACAGAGCTTCTGGACAACGGAATCTTTCATTATCAACTGCGATAATTTGACCATCGGGAAGTTTGTATTTTCTCTCGAATGTTATGTCCCCAGTAGACTTGTCCATTTCTCGATCAAAATCTATAGGTACATAGCAAATATTTTCTTTCAACTTTTGTACGATTTCTTTTTGATCCATGGCATTGAAATTGTAGCCACGATCAGATAGGATTTTCGTTAAGTATTCGGTCAGGTTTCCACCAGCCAAATTTGAAGAAAAGTGTGCATTTGGAATCACGTAACCTTCTGTGATTGGTACTATCTGAGAAACGCCATGTCCAGAATCCAACACAATACCAGTCATACGACCACTAGCATATAGAGATAATACAGCTTGATTAAGTAAGTACATTGCTGGTATATTGAAAGATTCAAACATGACCTGCGTCATCTTCGCCCTAGTAGATTTTGGGTTCAATTGTGCTTCCGTTAACAAAACAGGATACTTTTTTGGAGTAATTCGCAGTTTGTTGTAGTATATATGATACCAAATCTCCTCCATATCATCCAAATTCATGATGATACCATGTTCAATAGGATGCTTTATTACGAGTTCTCCTCTTCTACTTTGGGCTTCATTTCCTATATAAGAGATTTTTTGACCCATGTTTGCGCCAAGTTCCTCATGCCCCGAATAACCAATAATGGTAGGTATTACGACATGGGGTGCATCATTGCCAGAAAACCCAGCTTTAATGGTACCAGATCCACAATCAAAAACTAATGCACACATGTTGATTTGTTGAAACTGAAAAGAAAACAAATGTTACAGTTGGAATAACGATGTTGTGTTTGTCATGTGTTGGATAGTTCATGAATTATTATGTTGACGAAGTTATTTCATGAACTTATTTGATATTTGTTATAATAAAGATCTAGAAATTATCTTCAGAACTATTATTTGAATTATATAATCTAAACTGGAATAATACACGGTGAATGGATTCATCTGCAAGAGCACCTTCGGAGATGAACTACAACGGCAATGTTTCGGCAATTTGAATTTGAAAAAGCCCGATTCATTAATGATTGCATGTGGAGAAACCAAAAAGATAGCTTCATTAATAAATATGCCTATTAGGATATCGAAGACATTGAATGTTCAATACCTTTGAGTACTGCGTCGGCAATAAGAAATTTGATTCTGCGAAAATGTTTTACTGTGAGTTAGATTCATTTTTGATAGAAGTGAAATGACACAGGAAGTATTGTGAATAATTCAAATAAAAATGAGTTATTGAAATTACAGAAACATATATTAAACTGATATATCTTCAATACCTTGTTTAGGACTCCGTGATCGGAGTCATACATATACAGACAAAATTATAGCTTCTACCAGATTACAAAGGAATTGGGAAATTACACTTTCATAATCATTTTTGATGAAATTTGCCGATACCTATTGGAAATTCAATGGTAAATATATTCGCAAACAGTCTGATATTTTCACGAAACAATTTATAAAACCACAACACGTGTTTCAATATGTTGTAGCGTCTTCAGACGCCTGAATGAAGAGTTATCTTAATTTGCTCTTACAGATCTCAAAGAAATGAGTTTTGATAAGATTTCTTGGTATCATTGTATATTTCTCAATGTGTGTATCATTCATTATCACCCATTTTTTCAGAACGCTACTTCAAACTTACTGAAACAATGTGTTTGGAACTCGACCCTTTTTTTCCGAAATTATTTTTTCATCAAAAATTGTTATTTTCGTTGCTACAAACTTATGTGTTATAAGTAAATTCAAATTCATTCGAAAAAATATAATTTTATTATACTTTTGCGTGTCACCAGATAAATTCTATGGAAACCAAGGTAACAAAATCTGAGAACATTTTTAGACAAAAATAATGTATTGAGCCACAAAAAATCACATCATAAGCCAACTATATTTGTTGGACAGTATTGAAACAAATTTTTGTTCCAATCAAGTACATGGTTACACATACGTATTATGGCAGTTTATTTTCAATTATTGAGAAAAAAATCCGGGCTGGTGTACCGTGCTCGAAATGAACTTGTGGTACCAATTGTTTTATCTGCTACTGCGGCAGATATCTTCTATTGTATATGGGTTGCAAGTAAGCTCGAAGGAAGTATTATGACAGTCATTTGTTGATGAATCTTCGAGATACTACCTTCGTTCGTGTACTCAACACATATACCATTAAAAGGTGTGCCGCACTAGCAGACGAAACGTTTGATACAAGTTCTATTCGACCATGGCCTAGCAGCCCGGATTTTGTTGTTTCTATTCCAATCATGGGAGGCTGTTTCCTCATATTGTAATTTTCAATGTTTGGTGTGCCTTTCAATAGAGAAAAATTTGCCAAATTTTACTAAACGTTTCAAATTTGACCATCATGTGTGACACCGTATTGGCCCGAAGCAAATGATCTGGCAGAGCGCTTCATGAAGACTATTAAAAAAGCGATTCTCCTCCAAATCCATATATAATCAAGACAACAGTGGACATTCAAGTGACAACAATTAAACGTTGGTTTGCTGGCTTCAGAGGTGGTCGTGGAGCCACGGATGATGCAGAACGTAGGGGACGTCCAAATGAGGCAGTAACACCAGAAAACATATAAAAAAAGCGTTGGCTTTATATTAAATAAACATTTGACTGAGAGCTCTGTTCAGAGTGGGTGCCGCGCGAACTCACTGTTAACCAAAAACAAGAACGTCTTGATCACCCTGAGCAGTGTTTGGCCACGTTTAAACATGAAAAACCGGAATTTTTGCGTTAATATGTGACAGTGGATGAAACATGGATCCATCACTTCACTCCACAATTAAAACGATCGTCTTTTGAATGGAGAGCAGCTGGTGAACCTCGTCCAAAGCACTCGAAAGCACACCAATCGGCTGGAAAGGTTATGACCTCCGTATTTTGGGATATGCGTGGTATAATATTCATCCATTATTTCGAGAAGGGAAATTCCATCAACAGTGAATATTATATAGCATTATTGGAAAGTTTGAAGGCCGATATTGCAGAGAAATGACCGTATATGGCAAAGAAACAAAATTGCTTCATCAAGACAATGCACCGTGTCACAAATCGATCAAAACAATGGCAAAAGAACATGAATTGAACTTAAAATTTCTCACATCCACTGTATTCACCAAATTTGGCTCCCAACGACTACTAGCTGTTCGCAGACCTAAAAATTGATAACCAGTACAAATTTCGCTCGAATGAAGAAGTTATTGCCGAAACTGAGGCCTATTTTGAGGCAAAAGATGAATCGTCCTACAAAATTGTTATTGAAATGTTAGAGCGGCGCTGGAATGATTGTCTGGCTCTTGATGAATAAAGCCAATTTTGCAAACTAAACTTCTCTGAAGAGGTAAAATACCTTGGTACTATCCTCGACAAGAAGCTAACATGGAGCTCTCATCTACAGAGTAGAGCAAAAAGAGCATACGTGGCTTATGCGCAATGTTGGCGGACAGTGCAGGAGGACGCGCACGGGGTCTTTCACCCCGTGTGATCACCTGGATCTACACTGCAATAGTAAGACCTATGTTAACGTATGAAGCCATTGCATGGGGACCGAAAGTTCTACAAGCAACGGCCATCCAAAAATTATACCAAATACAGCGAATGGCTTGTTTAAACATCACAGGAGCCATGAGAACAACACCAACCGCGGCAATGGAATTAATCACGGGTCTGACCCCTCTTGATCTGTACGTTATGGAGGTTGCGTTGATGGCCATGGTACGATTGCGCACGGCTGGTGTTAACTTCGAAGTAGGAATGGGTCAATTGAGGCTGGGCCTGTGACGGAAAGCTCTTACTGCGCAACCTCTGCTGCAGGCAACAAGCAATGCAACTGAACCCAGGTTTGTGTTTAATAAACCCTACAAAATACAAATAAAGCAGAACATAGAGTCAGATGATACAAATGCAATACGGATTTACACAGACGGCTCAAAAACCAAAGAAGGCTCAGGATGTGGAGTGTACTCCAGATCACTGAGCCTAAGAATTAAGTGGTGAATGGGAAGAAATACCAGCGTGGTCATGATCTTGCCTGGGAAGCTAGCGCCGACGAAATATTTGGCAATGACCAGGAAAAAACTACGCCTAACAGTAGGATTTCTGACTGGTCACTGTCAACTAAGGAAACACCTCCATAATATGGGGCTGGTGGACACACCTCTATGCAGGATGTGTGAACAGGAAGATGAGACTGTCAGGCATGTCCTGTGCGAGTGCCCGAAGTTATCGTCAATAAGAGAGTGTGTGTTCGGCGAGTTTTGGCCTACACCTGCTGATATAAAGGAGATGTCTCCCAGTGACCTGTCCACTTTCCTGGAAAGGACAGGATGGACGATGACTTAGAAGGAAAACTCCTCGGGAGGATGTACAATGGGTAACATGTGGTCTAAGTACTATGGGCTCAACCTCCCTAATCTTCAGATACAGAGAGAAAGCCAATTTTGAACAAAAAAATGCGTTTTTTTTCTTAGGCCGGGACTTTTAGTATTCTTTCATGAAAAAGCCAATGGTCTGCCATCACTCGCCGCAGAGAGAGCGCTATAATTTTTTTTTCAAATAGAAAAGGGGTCTTGTGACCTTCCGCATGAAAGGTATTTCAATTCTCTATACGATGACAGGTATATATCTGCGGTCTGAACTCTAATCATTTAAAAACTTATTGATGAATGTTTGGAACAGTTATGGATAAGAATAACATATAATGAAAAAATATGGCAGTTGGAGTATTATATGGACCTATTTGTACAGCAAAATTTGGTGAATTTTTCACATATTTTAGTTTATCAGAAATCGTTCCAGACTCTGATGAAATGATATATGAAGGTGATGTTTATAACAATCTATTGTTTCCTGCTAATAATAATGCAGGAACATTTTTAGGCTGCATTGATAGCTTCGAATTAAAACAATTAAATAATACGCCCACAAGAATCACTAATATTACTTCAATATTACTTGACTTTATTATAATATCCAATGAAGCAATAGTTAATCACTAGGGCACTCTGGACATATCACATTTCTGACCATAATTTAATGTATACAACTGCTCTCTTGAAAATAACTGATGATATTCTTGAAGCTTCTGACAGAGGTATTATGATTGCTTCAATATTTGTAGACTTCTCCAAGGCTTTTCAAACCATTAGTTATCTGATGTTATTTGCTATTTTAAACTTTATCGGGTTCTCCGAACCTTTTATAAATTTAATGAAAAGCTATCCCAAAGATCGTTCACACTTTGTAGAAACTTCGAAGGGAAAATCAAGCAGTGAATCTATCAAACTTGGACTACCTCAGGGATCGATACTTGGGCCTTTATCATTTTGTGTATACATTTGTTATCTAGTTTCTACTTTAGGACATTGTAGTTCACATATGTATGCGGATAACAAACAACTTAATCTATCATTTTAATGAAGATCTAACAAATCTTATTTTATTATCTGAAGCTCACAACTTCAAAATCGATTCAAACAAAACTAATTTGCTTGTTTGTGGTACTAATCGTAGCTTGGTGAAAAGATATATCAATATTGTTATTGGTGATACAGTAGGTAATATGTTCCATGAACGTGGCAAAAAATTCAGATATCGAAATGAACGTGAATTCAAAGTTTACGTAACATGTTACAAAATGTGTATAGAGAAGTTACATGTGTTTGAAAATGCTTTATCCTCATCGTCATTTATTATCAATAAGTTTGAAAATAAAATCAACAAATGTACTTGTGCTGAGTCATTAATAAGAACATTTGTGAAATTGAAAGGGTTTAAAAATCATGTCTTAAGTATATA